TGCCTAAGTTACACAACATAAATATCATATAATCATCACCTGATTTCAATTGAATGTTATTGTAAAAAAATTAGTAACGTGATCGCTAGTAAAAATGATCGATATTCACCCTACCCTTAAATAATTAAAAAAGTAGATCAGAGATATATTTATTGTAATTATGCAGGCAAATTTGCTTGCAAATCTCTACCAATTAAGGGATAGGAACTTGAATAGGTTATTTAGCTATTCTGAGTATATATACCAAGATCACAGGTATTTTTTTATTACTAATATTGAGATATGTATATATAGTATTTAATATCTATCATTACATATTATTTTTGACCAGCTCAAAATAGAAATATTATTATATATAAGGTTATTTGCTTTACATTAATACTTATAATATATATGTTTAGATACCTTTTGATTTGGCAGTGTTAAAAACAAATACCTGGTTGTGGTCCATTCTGAATATTTTACAAAAAAATTTATTATCATCATTTATATTTTATTTATATAAGAATTTTATAATTATAATTATATACAATATATATATATAATATAAAACTGAACTAGTAAGTGCTCTTTATCATAAAATTGCTAGTATCTTAAAATTTTACTAGGGTAATCCCTGTTTGCAACTAAGCAAAAATGTTCTTTTCACAATTTTACACTACTCTAAATCTAAATTCTAATTTTAATCTAACTCTATCTAATCCTAACTTAACTCTAACCTAACCCTAACCTAACCCTATCCTAAAATCATAAAATCATAAAATTGCTAATATCTCAAAATTTTACTAAAGTAATCTCTGTTGTGTAATTAAGCAAAAATGTTCCTCTTGCAATTTTATACAATTTTGCTAACTCTAATCTAATTTTAATTTTTATTATAAGCTAAATTTTTGCTAGGGGCACTGTTTAGATTTTCCCTATAAGGCCACGCAAAGTTAATTTTTCATTTAACATTACCCACTGACCTATTTTTTAATTTGTTTAAAATTTTTTTTTTTTTTTACATCTCAATTGTGCCAATTATTCGATTTTTGCTATTTATTTTTTTTGCAATTTTTGTCTGGTATTACCTGATGGAGACACCTGATATCCCGGAATTATCTGATAGGACCGACAGAAAAAAAATGACAGCCAACCCAATTTTCTAATTCCTTGTTATGCAAAAAAAAGAATAACTTAAAATACAAAGATAATTCTATTAATTTAAAGTAGATTTAAAAAAAAAAAATAATAAAAAATTGACCGACCAACCCAATTTTCAGATTCCATGTAATGTTAAACGAAAAATTTACTTTGCGTGGCCTAATACTGTATATATATTTTGTAAAATTTATATGTATTTATATATTTACATGTTATATTAGGTAAAATTGTATCTACAACAACTGGTGTGTATATTATATACTTGTTATACAAAATTACTACTTTAAGCCCAAATAAATTTGAAATAGTAAGCCAAAAAACCTTGCCAAGTCAATGGGATCTTCCAACTGAACAAATGATAAATCTTTTGCCTAATAATTTCCTATTTATTGAAATTTGCGTAAGTATATGAGGAATTATATTTGTCGGGATTTTATCTTTTGCTACAGTTTTATTATGTAAGAGATATAAACAAATGAGTATAAAATTTTAAATGAGGCCAAGCGAACTAAATTAATTAGTTTTCGTAACATATTAAGACCAAAGAGCGTTTAGAATTTAGTTGTTTTTGTTTATAAAGATAAAAAATAGATGCAAAAATATTAGTAGTTGCTTTTTTGATAAACAGTTATTCTAAACTAGCACCTGGTCAATGTCTGGATACGTCCTTACGTTCATTAACACACATAGAGTTTTTTCTCAAACCTATTATAAGTTCGGTATAAGATATATATAAAAATTTCATTTTTACTATGAATTCATTATAAATAGTTTGTGTATATACTGTATCTATTGAGTTTATAGTGGTGGGAAGTAGTGTTTGTAGTCGATTTTGCATAGTCGATTTTTATCGACTTAGCCGGCTTAGTTAGCCGATTTTCCAAAAAATCAACTTAGCCGATTTTATGTTAGATTATATTAAAATAACCAATCAGATTCAATATATTACCTCTTTAGTACATAGTACTAAGAGTAAAGGCCAAAAAATACCGAAAAGAAAATCAACGAACATAAAATGCGAGACAAAATATCCGATAATTCCGGAGGTAAAAAAATATTCATACTTAGTTGGCTAAGCCGAATTTTAAATATCGACTTAGTCAAGTTCGTAAATAAGGATCGACTACAAACACTAGTGGGAAGCAGGGACCCGGAAAAATTCTGATTTGATTTGTAAAAAATTCATTCCGGTTTGGTTAAAAAATCCGATATAAAAATTTTTTATATACCATTATTAACTACTAGTGTGATGGGCTTAATATATTTATTGAGTTCATTTATAATCATTTAAATAATAGTATACAGTATAAGTTATTGCTGCCGATTCTGTTCAAATTCCAGAATTTAAGATCTTTAATTTATATCGGCCTAGTTTTGGAGTGTAGTAAAAAATTTATATAATACATATAAATTTATATAATAAGAAGAATGGACTTCTAATTTTGAAGTATCAACAGAAATGTATATATTAATTTGAGTGGAAACTAGGAAGTAGAGATAGTACCCATCAAGAAAATCTCTACCTGGGTATTATTAAATTACCCGGTTATCCGGGTAATTTAGTATAGCCATATAATAAAAATGTCTACTGGGTACAATCTCTACTAGGAAGTACAGCATTATCATAATTCCTGAAACACCTGATAAAAATTAGCCGAATGATTTTTCGGCCGATTCGGTTAAGTTATAGATTCC